CTCCACCGTTTCCCAAACTCCGACTCCGACATCGGCGTCCCGTTGTTCGACACCGCCACGAAGCCGAAGGGGTGGGTCTCCGACAGGATGTGAAAGTACACGTCCAGGTCTGGGGTGAAGGCGTACCACGCTCGGCGACCGGCGATATCCCCCTTGAAAAACCCGACGATCAAGCTCACGATCACCAGCGCTCGGATACTTCCGAACGAGCCCACGGCAAGAGCACAGTTGGATGACTCCTCGGCGAGCGATCCGAGGCCCGGTCCCAGAGAGTCGAGTAAGGCGAGGCCGCCCCGCGCAGCTCTGCTCCAGAAGCCGAGGATGCCCATGCAGGCTGGGATGGCGGTGCCGCCCGAAAAACTTGAGCAAAGACGGCGATGGAACGGACACGTCAGGGCCCATCCCATCTGCAGGCGGCTTGCATTTAGGGCGTGCACAGCTCTTTGGAAAACGTTTCAGTACATACATACATACATACATACATACATACATACATACATACATACACACATACATAGAATCACCACGCGCGCTTCGCGTGCGTTTGGGTTCTAGCGCGTCACAGACACAGGAAAATCTGTGCGAAAACATGTTTGGAGCTTCTCAGGCAAATGCGGACTCCAGTGACAACACCTGCTTGAAGCACCGCCGGGGACGGACCTTGTGTAGAGTGTGGTCAGTCGGACCAGCTCTCTGGTCGACCCTCTTGGGCGCGCCATGGGGCTCTCTTGGGCCGTTTTGAGGGGCCCATTGCGGGGCTGTTTCGGGGCCTCTTTGCATGTTTTTGCGGTTCTCTTGGGGGCCTGTTGGGGCTTCTTGGGCACTTCTTGCAGCCTCTTGGAGACTCCTGGGGGCCTCTTGGGCCAAAACGCTTGAATCTTCGGTTCCTCGTCCCCGTCTTGGGCGCCGACTCGGGGCGTTCTTGGGCGGTTTGGGCGCCTCGGGGGCCTTCTGGGCCGTCTTGGACGCAGTGGAAGCCCAAAAAGCGAAAACGCCAAAAATATAAGGTCTCCCATTGGAAATCGACGATGTTTGCTTATTTGGGCTCTATTGGTGGGGTGCCTCTTGGGGCGTCTTCGAGGCCTCTTTTGATGTGTTTGTGTTTCGGGTATCATGGGGGCCTCTTGGAACTTCTGGGCCCCTTCTTGGAGCCTCTTGGGGTCTCCTGGGGTTCTCTTGGGCCAAAAGGCGAGAATTTCCGGTTCCTCGTCCCCGTCTTGGGCGCCGCCTTGGGGTGTTCTTGGGCGGTTCGGGCGCCTCGTGAGCCGCCTTGGCCCCCTCGTGGGTCGTCCTGGGGCCTTCTTGGGGGCATCCTCGACCGGCTTGGGTGCCTCTTGGGCCGTCTTGGACGCAGTGGAAGCCCAAAAGGCGAACACGCCAAAAATATAAGTTCTCCCATAGGGAATCGACGATGCTTGCTTATTGGGGCTCTCTCGGGGTGCCTCTTGGGGCGTCTTCGGGGCCTTCGGGGGCCTTCTTGGCGTCATGGGAGTCGTCTTGAAAGGCGTCTGGAGCCATCGCTGCGGCCTCAAGGGGCCTCCCTGCAACCTCTCTTCTGCATGTCCTCCTCGTCTCCCGCATATTCCGGCTCGCACCTCGAACGGGTCGTGCCGAACAGGGACTTCAACCGACGGCCCCTGGCAATGTTCGCATCCGATCCACCCGAGTCGGCACACCCCTGACACGGGTCTTGGCCCACAAGAAGATCCACCTACGGCCCCAGAGAGATGGTTCGCATGACATCTTGGATGCCTCTCTCGCCGGCGCATTAGAACCAAATTATGAGCCTCTTGGGGGCCTCTTGGAGGCCTCATGGGTGCGTCTTGGGGTGCTTTGGGGGGCCTCTTGGGGCGTCTGGGGGGCCTAGCGCCTCCTGGGGGCTCTTGGGACCGAAAGCTCGGAAATCGAAAGTGGCTGTCTTCTTCTGGGATCCCTCTCGGGCGCTTCTTGGGCTTTTCTTGGGCCGTCTTGGGGGCCGATTGGGCCGTCCTGCGTTCCTCGCAGGCCGTCTTGGAGACTTCTTGGGGGCCTCCTAAGCCGTTTTTGGGGGCCTCTTGGGCCGTCTTGGACGCGGTGACAGCCCAAGAGGCGAGCATGCGACAAATATACGTTTTCCCGTAGGAATGGGAGGATGTTAGTTCCTTTGGGCTCTCTTGGGGTGCCTCTTGGAGCATCTTGGGGTGCTTTGGGGGGCCTGCTTCGGGCCTCGTGGGGGCGTATCGGCGCCTCCTGGGATCTCTTGGGGCCGAAAGCTCGGGATTCGAGAGTGGCTTTCTTGCTCTGGGACTCCTCTCGGGCGCGTCTTGGGGCTCTCTTGGGCCGTCTTGGGGGCCCGTTGGGCCGTCCTGGGCTTCTCGTGGCCCGTCTTGGAGCTCTTTTGGGGGCCTCCTAGGCCGTCTTGGGAACCCCTTGGGCCGTCTTGGATGCGATGACAGCCCAACAAACGAACATACGACAAATATACGTTTTCCAACAGGAATGGGACGATTCTTGCTTATTGGAGCTCTCTTGGGGTGCCTCTTGGAGCGTCTTGGGGTGCTTTTGGGAGCCTTCTGGGCGCTTCTTGTGGGCTTCTCGGCGCCTCCTGGAGCCGTTTGGGGTCGAAAGCTTGGAATTCGATGGTGGCTTTCCTCCTCTGGGGCCCTCTCGGGCCCGTCTTGGGAACTCTCTTGGGCCGTCTTGGGCCCTTCGTGGGCCGTCCTGGAGCTTTCTGGGTCTGTATTGGGGCCCTATGGGGCGCGTCCTGGGCCGTACTGGCGCGGACCTGGGAGCTTCTGAGGTCGTCAAGCACGAACCGACAGCGAAAACTAGCAAAATGTTAAAATATACGTGTTGCCAAGGGAACGGGGCTATTTGGGCCCATTGGAGCTCTCTTTGGGGCCCTATTGGGGGTCGCTTGGGGTGTGATGGGGGCGTCTGAAGCCGCCTTGGAGGCCATGTTGGGCGTCTGGGAGCGACCTTCGGGCGTCCCAGGTCTGTTCTGGAGCCTCTTGGGGCCTCCTTGGCGCCTTCTGGCGGCCTTCTGTGAGGCCCCGGGGCTCCCGGAGCCCACATTTGCGGTAGCGGCGCCGGCCCCGGGCGCCCGGACCCGGTGCGCCGTTATGTGTGTGTGTATATATATATATGTATATATATATATATATATATATATATATATGTATATATTTATATATGGATTAAAACCATCGCGCGCGCTTCGTGCGCGCTCAGGTTCTGGCAGGCCCCAAACCTTGACGCGTCAGTGCTCCACTGAAGTAGTGGACCACAGATGGTTTGAACGGGAAGTGAAGAAATGCCCATAACGCTGAACGCGCTACGGGCAATGCGAAGCCCACGCGTGTCAATCCAAATTCCGGAAGGTTTTCGGGGAAGATGGTTGCGTAGGGGGGCGAATGCCTGATGAATCGGGATCCCAGAAGGCCTTCTGGGAACATTGGTTTTGGGGGCGTCTTGGAGAGCCTGTTGGGGCGTGCCGTAGTCGTTATAACGTGGTCGCCTCTTGAGGCGCGCCGTCGTCGTCGTCGTCGTCGTCATCGTTGTCCTCGTCGTCGTCGTCGTCATCATCATCGTCTTCGTTGCTTCTTCGTGTTCGACGTTTTCGTCGTCGCCGTCGTCGGTTCAAAAAGGCACTAGGGGCAACTTTGTGCGAAACGATCAGCAAAAGGCCGCGAGAAGGCGATCATGTCCCCAGTCAACTTCCCAGACCACTCTCCCGTAACGCGATGGTGCCGCGGAGCCTCCGGAAACTCTCGGGCCCATGACGAACCATGTCCCCAGAAGGCTTTGGGGGACATGATTTGTTGGGGGGGGTCGGGGGGCGGCTTGGGCGTTCCCTGGGGGCCCCTTGGAGTTTTCTGGGGGCTACTTGGGGACCTCGCAGGGTTTCGTGGGAGCCTTTGGGTGGCCTCCAGGGGCCTACTGGGGGCCTCTAGTGCCAGAGACTTCAAAATATCGGTTCGCGGTCCCCTTCTGGGCCCCTTTGTGGGGGCACGCTTGGGTTGTTTTGGGAATTTCCTGGGTTGTCTTGGGGCCCTCTTCGGGGCCTCGCGGGCCGTCTTGGAGCAATCTGAAGGGCCTCAGAAGCCGTGAGGAAGTGCGGGGAAGCAGGACAAGCGATAACGCCAAAATTTTTCAAAGACCGTGGAACTGAATTACCCTGGCGACGTACCCAACCCCTGCGCAATGCGGGGCATGAGTAGTTTGGGAGACGTTATACGGAGGTGATGACGTGACATGGGCGCATATACTCCTGCGAGCGCCCAAGCAACCCTCGAAAAAGGCGACAGTTTCGCAGATCCCAGCCCCCCAGGGACGGCGAGGTCCCGCTCAGATCCGCGCGGTGCGTCACTCCGCAGGACCCACCAGCAGCCCTCGAAAGTGGCGACAGTTTCGCAGATCCCGGCCCTCCAAGGACGGCGAGGTCCCTCTCAGATCCGCGCGGCGCCTCACTCCGCAAGACCCACCAGCAGCCCCCGAAAGTGGCGACAATTTCGCAGATCCCAGCCCCCCAGGGACGGCGAGGTCCCGCTCAGGTCCGCGCGGTGCCTCACTCCGCAAGACCCACCAGCAGCCCCCGAAAGTGGCGACAATTTTGCAGATCGCAGCCCCCAGGGACGGCGAGGTCCCGCTCAGGTCCGCGCGGTGCCTCAGTCCGCTGGACCCACCAACAGCCATCGAAAGTGGCGACGGTTTCGCAGATCGCAGCGTCCAGGGACGGCGAGGCCCCGCTCAAGTCCGCGCGGCGCCTCACTCCGCAGGACCCACCTGCAGCCCTCGAAAGCGGCGACAGTTTCGCAGATCGCAGCCCCATCGTCGGCGAAAAGAGGGCAGGAGGAGGCGGGAGGCGGGAGGAGGAGGACGCGACCACACCCCTCTATTCAAAACGAATACCCAACCAAGGAGGGTTGGGAAATACATGGTGCTTCCCAAGGCCTTCTTGGTGGGCCTCTTGAGTCCGCCCTGGAGCGCGTGGGACTGGAGTCCTCGTCGGCAATCTTGAAGGCATATTTTCCTGATGCATGATTGCGGACCGGTGGTAGCGCGCCCGGGATGACAATCGATGACACGTCACGTCCAACAGTGCCACTACATGCATCCGCAATGCGATCGCCACAAAGTGAAACACGCAAGGCACGGATATGCTTCGAAATTCCGCCACTGCTCAAGCGAACGCTGTCCCAACAAGGAGCGGCCCTCTCCCGGCTGCCAGGGCCTACTGATGCGAACTCCCGCCGAAACGTATCCGCCAGAGCGGGCTGTTGCCAAGCAGGTACCCTGATGGCCCTGGCGGCCGATCCCCCATCCAGCAAGTATTCAAACGGGTGGGGAAAAAACAAGAGGGGAAGGCTTGCGGAAGTGAAGTGAGGTGGGAGCGTGAGATTGGCTCTGCGCGTGCATCCCCACATGTTCCAACCGACCACCCAAGTAAAAGGCACAACACAGGCGGATGAACAGTGCACAGCATTGAATGCATTTTACAGCCCAACACGCCCCGCGGCTGCTTGCAAAGGAAGGGCCCCCAAAGAGGCCCGGACGACCGCAGCGCGGGAGGCGGAAGCAAGAATATACAAAACGATAACAAGAAAGAGGCGGACGAAACTGGAAAGGAGGGAGGCGGAACAAAACAGCGAAAACGCGCGAGGCTCAAGAGTAGACGATCAGCTGGGCGCACAGGTAACTGTAGCGGGAGTTCTGGCAGCCGACCTGGAGGAGTGGAGGTCGAAGGGCGCCTAGACGCGGGTGCCGAGGCACTGGTAATCCCAGGGGCCCAGCTGCGCAACGCCCCTCGCCAGGATCTTGCATTGAATTCCACTGATGGTGCGGGAATCGTGAATGTAGGTGCAGCCAGAGTCGGAGCCAAGGTCGGGGAACGGTCAGAACTGGAGTCAGGGTTGGAAAAAGGAATGGAGTTGGTGTCGACCGCCAGGGCGGGGCCAGAAGTGACAGCTGAAGAACAGCTCGGTGTCGATGCCTGGATGGGGGAAGGGGGGCAGGGCTCGCAGCTGGGGCTTCCCACGAACATCGCCATGCGAACTCCGCCACTGGGCCGCCATGCGAGTTCCGCCACGGAGACCTTAGGTGGAGCCCCCTTTATGGGGCCACGAAACGTGCGAGGGGTGTAACAAAATTCGGCTGCGCCACTGGGACCTGAGGTGGAGCTCCCTGTGGGGCCACAACACGTGTGAGAGATGTGCCAAATGGGGCGGCGGCGCCATGCGGGCTGCGCCACTGGGACGCTAGAGGGGCCTCCCTGTGGGGCCACGAAACGTGTGAGAAGTGTGCCAAAATGGGGCGGCGGCGCCATGCGGGCTGCGACATTGGGACCTTAGGTGGGGCTCCCTATGAGTCCACGAAGCGTGCCAAGGGTGTGCCAAAATGGAGCGGCGGCGCCATGCGGGCTGCAACACTGGGACCCTAGATGGAGTTCCCTATGGGACCAAGAAGCGTGTGAGGGGTGTGCCTAAGTGGAGCGGCGGCGCGCCACTGGGACCCTAGATGGTGCTCCTTATGGGGCAACGAAACGTGTCAGTTGTGTGCCACAGTGGAGCAGCGGCGCCATGCGGGCTGCGCCACTGGGACCTTAGATGGAGTTCCCTGTGGGGCCACGAAACGTGCGAGGGGTGTGCCAAACTGAAGCGGCGGCGCCATGCGGGCTGCGCCACTGGGACCTTAGATGGAGCTCCCTATGGGGCCGCGAAACTTGTGAGAGATGTGCCAAAATGGACGGCGGCGCCATGCGGGCTGCGCCACTGGGACCCTACAGGGAGCTCCCTGTGGGGCGACGAAACGTATGAGGAGTGTGCCAAAATGGGGCGGCGGCGCCATGCGGGCTGCGCCACTGGGACCTTAGATGGAGCTCCCGATGGGGCCACGAAGCGTGTGAGGGGTGCGCCAAAATGGGGCGACGGCGCCATGCGGGCTGCGCCACTGGGACCTTAGGTGGAGCTCCCTGTGGGGCCACGAAACGTGTGAGGGGTGTGCCGAAACAGAAACATGCGGAGAGCAGAAGGCAAGGAGGAGGAGGAGGAGGAGGAGGAGGAGGAGGAGGAGGAGGAGGGGGAGGAAGGAGGAGGGGGAGGAGGAGAGGAGGAGAGACGCGGGGCTCTGTCTCTTCAAAAAGAGGACCCAACACCACAGGATGATTTGGGGATGAGCAGTTTTCCTACAGGAAATCGACGATGTTTGCTTATTTGGAGCTTTACTGGGGAGGCTCCTGGGGGTATCTTGGGGCCCTCTTGGAGCCTCTGAGGGGCCTCCTGGGGCCTCCTGGGGACCTCTGGGGGGGCCTCCTGGGAACCTCTGGGCTTCCGGAATTCGAATATGGTTGTGCACCTCTGGGACCCCTCTGGGCCTCGTCCCGGGGCTCTCTGGGGCTGTCGTGGGGGCCTCTCGGACCGTCTTGGGACCCTATTGGGGTCGTCTTGGAGCCCTCTTGGGCGCCTGTGGGGCAATCCTGGATGGGGGCCTCTTGGGCCGTCTTGGACGCAGTGGAAGCCTAAAATATGAACACGCCAAAAATATAAGTTTTCCGGTTAGGAAATCCACGATGTTTGCGCATTGGGGCTCTATTGAAGTGCCCCTTGGGGCGTGTTCGGGGACTCTTTTTGTATGTTCGCGGGTTTCTTGGGGACCTCTTGGGGCTTCTTGGGCGTTTCTTGGAGCCTCTTGGGGTCCCCATGGGGGCCTCTTAGGCCAAATGATTTAATGGCTTGCATTTTCGGTTCCTCGTCCCCGTCTTGGGCGGCGACTTGGGGCGTCGTTGAACGGTTTAGGCGTCTCGTGGGCCGTCTTGGCCCCCTCGTGGGCCGTCTTGGAGCCCTCTTGGGAGCATCCTCGACCGGCTTGGGTGCCTCTTGGGCGTCTTGGACGCAGTGGAAGCCCAAAAGGCGAACACGCCAGAAAAATCAGCCTTCTTACAGGAAGTCGGCGATGTTTGCTTATTTGGGGCTCTATTGGGGTGCCTTTTGGGAGCCTCCTGGGGGTCTCTTGAGGGCCTCTTGGGGCCTTTGGGGGGCCTCTTGGGGCTCCTGGGGGCCTCTGGGGGCCTCCTGGGAACCTCTGGGGCCGAAAGATCGGAATTCGAATATGGTTGTGCACCTCTGGGACCCCTCTGGGCCTCGTCCTGGGGCTCTCTTGGGCTGTCGTTGGGGCCTCTCGGGCCGTCTTGGGACCCTTTTGGGGTCGTTTTGGAGCCCTCTTGGGTGCCTGTGGGGCAGTCTTGGGAGCCTCTTGGGCCGTCTTGGACGCAGTGGAAGCCTAAAAGGCGAACGCGCCAAAAATATAAGTTTTCTTGTTAGGAATTCGACGATGTTTACTTATTGGGGCTCTCTCGGGGTCGTCTTGAAAGGCGTCTGGAGCCATCGCCGCGGCCTCCTGGGACCTCCCTGCAACCTCTTGAAGCCCTGTTGGCCCCGGGTCGCCGAAACTGTGTTAAAACACATGGAAAATGACGCCCGGACCCCCATGCGCCGTCGGGGTCGCGGTCCCGGGCCCACAGTCCTCGTCCCCTAGGATATATTTATATATATAGTATATATATATATTATATATATATTATATATATGCGTGTGTATATATTATATATATATATATATATTATATATATATATATATATATATATATACAGTGCCACGCGCGCGCTACGCGCGCGCGTAGGTTCTAGCTTCGTCCGGGGCAACGCCAAACAACGGACGAGGAGGTTGAAGGCTGAATGCACTTCGGTTATTCGTCGAGTTTCGCGGTCGTGGTTCGAAAAGCTTTTGGGCGCTCCTCGCCCCCAGGCGGCCCGAGGCGGCCGAAAACGACACCTCTTCCTCGTCCTCCTCTTTCCCCCTGCTCTTGCTCCTCTCCTCCTACTCTTCCTCCTCCCCCCATCGCCCCTCCTTTCCCCCTTCCTCCTCCTCCGCCCCCTTCCTCCCCTCTTTTCTCCTCCTCCTCTCTCTTCCTCCTCCTCATACCCCCCTCCTCCTCTTCTCCTCCCCTCCTCCTCCTCCTCCTCCTCCTCCCCCTCCTCCCTCCTCCTCATCCTCATCATCATCATCTCGTCATAATCATCATCATCAGTGTCATCATCATCATCATCATCACCATCACCGTCACCATCATCTTCATCAGTTCCTCCTCCTCCTCCTCCCCCCATCCTCCTCTCCCTCCTCCTTCTTCCTCCTCCTCTCCTTCCTCCTCCTCCTCCTCCTCCGCCTCCACCCCCTCCTCCTCGTCCTCCTCGTCCTCCCCTTCCTCCTCCCCCCTCCTCCTCCTCCTCCTCCCCCTCCTCTCACTCCTCCTTATCCTGCTCCTCCCCCCCCTCCTGTTCAGACTGCATGGCTCGCCAAACGGCACTGCGACGCCGCGCAAGCATTGGGCCACATCGGATAAAGGGAACACTCGGGGGAGGCCCCCCTCTTCTCTTCCTCCTCCTTTTTTCCTCTTCCTTCAATCCCCCCCCCTCCTCCTGCTCCTCACTCTCCTCGCCTCCTCCTCCTCCCTTCCTCCTCCTCGTTCCTCCTCCTCCCTCCCTCCTTTCCTTCCTTTCGCCCTCCTCCTCCCCCTCTCCTCTTCCTCCTCCGTCTTCTCCTCCGCCCCTCCTCTCCTCCCCTCCTCCTCCTCCTCCTTCTCCTCCTTCCCTTCCTCTACCTCCTTTCCTCCTTTCCTCCTCTCTCCTATATCCTCCTCCTCCTTCTCCTCCTCCTTCCTCCTCCCTCCTTCCCCTCCTCCCCTTCCTCCTCCTTCCTTCCCTCCTCCTCCTCCTCTCCTTGTCCGTCCTCCTCCTTTCCTACCTTTCGCTCATCACCTTCCTTGAAACTCCCTCCTCCTCCTCTTCCTCCTCTCCCCTCTCCTATCCTCCTCACTTTATTAAATATCTGCTCTCTCCTTTCCTCCTCCTTCCTCCTCCTCCTCTCCCCTCCCCCCCCCCCCCACCCCCCCATACCATCACCATCATCATCATCATCATCATTCATTCATCATCAGCATCATCTTCCCCCCCCATCCAGCCCCCCCCCCCCCAAACTCATCTCATTGTCATCAATTCCTATTCCCCCACCCCCCCCCCCCCCCCATTCTCTCCGCCCCCCCTCCCCCCCCCCCCCCCCCCCCCCCCATCATTCTCCTCTTACTCCTCCTCCACCCCACCTCCTCCTCCTCCTCGCTCATATTTCCTCTCCCTTCTTTTCCTCCCCCCTCCCCCTCCTCCTCCACCTCCTCCGCGTGCGAGAAATCCAACAACGTGTCGCGGAAATCAACGAACTGTGTCCCTCCGATTTTTTTCGGGCGTCCTTCTAGGACTTGTCGGGGCCATCTTAGGGCCCCCTTGGGCGCCCTGGGAACCCGGAAGCCATGTTCCGATAGAGGCTTCGGGGAACATGATTTCGGGCGCTGCGGAATAGGCCTCCCGAGAATCTCTATAGGCAACTCTGCTTGCCCCCGTTGTGGCTCTGTTGGGTGCCCTTGGGGGCTCTCTTGGGCTGGCTTGTAGCTCTCATGGGTCATCTTGGGCCCCTCTTGGGCCGCCTCGGGGCTCCTCGGGGCGGCGCTGCGAAGACGTGGTCGTCGTCGCCGTTCGCCGATCGGCGGCGTCAACTGTTGTCATCGCCGTCCATCGTCGTCGTCGTCGTCGGTCGTCGCCGTCGACGACCGTCGTCGTTATCGTCAATCACCGTCGCCGATCGCCCTCGCCGATCGTCGATCGGCCCCGAGCTCCTCCTCTTCCTCCTCCTCCACCCCCTAATCTGCCCTCTTCCCCCTCCTCCTCCTGAAATCATGTTCCCGGAGACGCTTCCGGGGGCAGGATTTCGAACGATGCCGAACAGACTGGGGCCAAGATGGCTCTGCGCACGCGGACAGCGTCGCCGCCGTCGGCGCGGCCGTCGTCGTCGTCGCCGTCGATCGTTGATCGGCGACGTCGGCTGTTGTCATCGTCGTCTATCGTCGTCGTCGTCGGTCGTCGACCGTCGACCGTCGACCGTCGTCGTCGTCGTCGTCGTCGTCAATCACCGTCGCTGGTCGTCGTCGCCGATCGTCGATCGCCCTCGAGCCCCTCCTCTCTCCCCCCCCCCGC